CCAGCTGCGTTCTCGACGTTCGAAGCCTACCGCTTCAGAAAGGCACATGACTCCTTGAAAATACTTTATTTTATTGTACCGCCAGATCCAACGGATCGTTACTCACCGGTCTCGTTAATGTCGAAGCGGGGGGTTGAATAACGTGAGATTTGAGTTTGCGTAGACTAGTTAGGAGATCGAAAAGAGAAGAAGATAGAGGGAAGAAGAAGGTGACAGCTAGCCTCTAGAGAGAAGAGTCCGGCTTTCAGGGATCTACGAGCGGGTTACGATAAGAGATTTTAAGAATCCAAGATAGGGCTCTCGATGTCCTCTTTGTCCGTTCAGATTTCGCGCTCCGCTCCACGATTCGGTCGATTTTCTTTTCTCTTCCTATTTTTTTTTTTACTTCTTACTGTTTGTCCGATGTGATAGCCCACCGACGAATCGAGCTCTATCCTACACAAACTCTGAAATGACGCCGTTATCATTAAGAACGGTCTTATCGGTCGTAGAGAGTGACCATTATCTCCGAACTGTTTCTGCGCCCATTGAGCCCGACGAAGACGTTTTCCCTTTTAGATATGACCTCGTTGGTCGAATGTAGAAAGTCCCCGTGGTTCCATGGGAAATAAAAATCCGCAAATGTCCTTTGATATCACAACATTACGTGATACCGAATGAGATGTAATTGCAACTAGGTCGTCAGAAAATCAAATATTTCTTGCGAAATCATGAGAGTTTTGCGCGATTTCTATATATGAATTTTTACGATTATTATTAAGGATTTATGTGAACAATAACATCGATTGATGTTAAATTTGATGGTTATAATTAATGTGCTTAAGTCTAAAAGTCTATTTTTTTTAATAATAAATGTGTCAATGATATAATATACGCTTCACGATGAATTTTAAGAAAAATATATTGAGTGTTATTTAATCCTTACATAATATAATATTTGATGCATATATAATAATATTGCATATATAATAATAATATTATTATTAATGTAATAAGTAAGAGTATTAATACCTGTAAAAAGTCTGAAATTCGCATATATTTTCATCACACTTAAAATACTATTCTAATGTTTGACGAGCAACGAGAATGTTTTCGCTGATCGCGTACGTGATGCAGCGGAATTGCTGGAACCTCATAAATTCGCTGCAAATGGCTTACAGGTTTACCTATAAAAACATAATAGCAAGACGGTCTCCTTTCATCGTTCGTTTTCATCGAGCATTCGGCCTATCGATCCGTGGAATTTTTTTATTGCCGCTGTCCCTCGCAGCGACGATCCCTTCGTCAGCTAAAAGAAAGTAAACATCGTAAAAAAAAAAAAAAAAAAAAATTCGCACTCACCGAGTGTTTGCTCAGGTCCCACGAGAGGAATATCACTCGTAGAAATTGGTGATACAACTTTGAGTGCATCTAAACCAGTTTATCAATATTGAGTGCGTCACACGTTCGTCACGACTCTCACACTTAATTAAGTTATACGTAATCGAAAAACTCGAACAAAATGAAATTCGCACTCGCACGTGAAAATGAAGCGATGATGTTCCCTGTATTTAAAATAGCCGTGTACATGAAATGAGCGAACAAGTTCTCAAACTGTATAATTCCTCCGGTGGAATTCCATGGCAATGACGAAGAGAGCGGCGAAGGGTCTCGCATAAATCTGCGGACGAATGGCTTGCGGGCTCATCGCGAAAAGCGTAATAGAGAATTCCGCAATTCGAATGCTTATAGGGCACTCCGGCGGAAAACGTTAGTGTGGCTATTGTGATCGACCGCGGACACACAGACGGACACCACCGTGAGCTTCTAAATTATTACGCAGTTTTGGATTTAACGCAGCCAATAGCGAAAGAACGCGCTTCGGCGCGTCTCTGCGAAAGTCGTAAAGCTACGGATGTGCGCTTAACCGGAAAGCTCCCGGTTATTTTTCCCGGCAATTCCTTCGCGCAGCGCACTTCTAAGCAGAGCTGAGTGAGCCGGGTTTACCGTTACGGGGAGAAACAAAGAAAATTAAAATATCTTCCGCGAAACCGTCCACCATCCCGGAATAATCTAGAAACGGCGAAAGATTGAACTCCGTTTCCCTGAAAGCGAGTCGTACGTAGCCTCGCAAATGCATTTGCTTCCCGTTTAGCGATGAGTTACGGTGCTGTAGAATCAATATTACATTACATCATAACAAACGATGAAATTTTGATACTGTTCACAAATTATTTAAGCATGAGTTTGCAAATGCTTTTGTTTTAGTTAAGTATAAAGGTTATCATAATGATTATGAAATATTAACTTACATTTGCTTTGAAATTGAATAATCAAAGAGTTTTCATTATACAAGCGTGATCTGTTTTCCATTATCTCATTATTCTCAATATTGATCTAAAATATTTCCCCTTATCTTTTTATTTATAATCAATCCGTTTAGGACATACTTTTCCTTTCCGTTTTCCTTCGTTTATAGAACTTTATATTTTTCTTTCTAGTTTTTCTAGTTTGCCTTGTTAACTTTAATTATTAATGTTTTGTTAAAAGATATATATTTAAAATATTTTATACTTATTTAAACATTAAACGTCTTTAATTACTAATTAGAATCAATCAATATTCACATGGTTTTCGAACGCATTAATATCGTTCTATTTGCAAGGACGATTAACGTTGTTGTCCTCGAAGATTTTCTGACAGATTAAGCCGACGGATAGATCGGTCGTCTATATATAGAGCTGTGCCTCGGAGGTCAGGATTAGTAAAGTTCAGTTGATGCTGGAGCAAGCCCCAGGGAAGGAGAAACGGTCCCTAAGCGAGTGATAAAATTCCTTTCCAAGTTATATTAACGCCGTTAGTCGTACCCACGGTGCCCCCGGACGAACTTTAATCGTGAATAATGAAGGAGCCCGGCGGCGATTATTTTTCTCGCAGAAGGGACCGACGGCATTAGACGCAGCCCTCGAACTTCGGCGCGAAGCCATTTTTTGCCGAGTTCCCGAAGAATCTTTGTCAGACGGGAAAATAGACTTGACTTCTTGCTCGTTGTTTGATTCTAGACGTACTTATCGTAAATTACGATATTAAAGATAACTAAGGAAGCCTTGCATACTTCCTCCTTTAATTTTATATTGCGGTTTCAAAAACCGATTCACTCACCGCGAAAAGCAGAGAGTACTTCCTAATTCACTTAGTTCATCACACACACACTTTTTAATCGAACACTTGACATAAAACAAGGCTGTAGGCGCTTTATTTTTAAATTTTCTTTTTAAAAAGCTGAAGTGGACACTGCCGTAATTTAATTGTCTGCTGCAAAGAGGCAGTTTATTAAGACGTGTGTGATGCCATGACGTTAAGAACATATTTCTCGATGGACCATATTATACCGCTACCAGCGTCGGCATGTAACAAACGTTCTTAAAGTAGCTTTATAAAAGCCGAATAGCTTCATTTGTAATAGCGTCAGACAGAACCGCCGCTCCTGATGGTAACCGTTAGGGCGAATAATAAATTGGCAGACAATGCCCGAAGGAAGATACCAAAGTGCACAAAGAATGCTTGCGTCAGCTATCATTTTTAGCTCGCAGGCGGAAAGAAGAATAATATGATTGTTCAACATTGGCATAATTTACTCCCGCAGAGAATACTATGTTGAATAATTAATACTGTTGTTGATCTCGATAATGATATGATAGTATCGCCTTCGCATGAATATAACAATAATAAGTTACGAAAGTGTACGAAAGAAAAATGTAAATATCATTTATATGTAAATGTAAAAGTATTAGGAAATAATAAAATTGCATGCAATTTAATTAAAAAAACGAATGACACAATATACGAAATTGCACATTAAACGTTTCTTATTTTTGCGTCAATTCTCTGCCTTTTATTCACATTAACTGTATCTTATTACATTTTCTTTGACTGTAACAATGTAAAGAATTTCATTAAAGTAAGTGGAAACAATGGCGTTGAAGTGAAAATGGACGGTTTTAATCGCAATTCCTGCAAGAATCGATAATCGAATTCTCGCAAAGCTGAACAGACCGTTGTTTCATAATATTGTTAATGTTTAAAACTTACGTACGCAATATGTTACGTGTTAAAATAGCACAAGCTATATTATGGCGCAGCTATTATTTCATGTTTATTTACTGTGCGAAGCGTTCAAAGAGAAGTCGGCAGGACGAAGGACCCGAAGGAGACTTAACCAGAACGGGGGGTGCTATAATCTCATTTGTGTGCTATAGTTGGTGCATAATTCCTCGCAGTGAGTAGCATAACTTTGTACTCTCTCCAAGGAACTGTACCAAACTGGCACAGCCTACGGGAGAGCATCAACTTCGCAAACTCGCGAGTAGTTGCGTTAACGGCGATGTACCTTCCCATATGGGATGCTTGACTCCTAAAGATAATTTCTGCAGTATTTGAGGCTTGCTCCGCAATCGCCGCAAACGAGCGTCTATACAAGCAGATTAAATGTATTGTAAGAAAGCAGATTAAATGTATTGTAAGAAAGCAGATTAAATGTATTGTAAGAAAAAAATATTTCACTTTTCGATTTTACATTAAGCGATTCATCTATTCGAATTATTTTCGTATGCTCGATTTTTATTATTGATCTTTATTAAAATAATTTATAAGATTTAATTATATTATATATGTGAATAAAGCTGATGTAATATCACTGTTTGAACGTCCTAATAATTTACCTTTAATTTAAACTTGTCAAATTACATTATTCTGGCGACCCGTTATACTTTTTTCTTACGCGGAACTCTGACAAATTTGTCATCAAGCATTTATTAAGTATTCTATATAGAAGTGTGAAGGGCCAATCATTAAAGCGATATATATCATCTGATCGTAATTGGTTTCCTTTCCTCTCCTCTCTTTTGTGGCTATTAAATTTAAGCCAGAGAACCGCCCATTGCCACCATTTCTGCGTGAGCGGCTCGGCGGGATACTTAAGTCGCTTCAGTCTCCTAACAAGCTCTCGTCTCTTCTTTCAGACATGCTACGAGATGGAGAGGTACCTGAAGGACGAGCCGAAGCTACAATCGTACAAAAAACTCCCCACGGAATTGGACACAGCGCCCTGGAACCTCTTCAGGGCACCATCGATCTCGTGGACGACGTCCACTGGAACGAACGCGCAATTCGACCCCCCAATCAAAATGGAGGTGTGTAACTAGATTATGCCGATATTTACAAACCATTAGCCCGCCTATTATTAAAGTTTTCTAGAGAGAACCTTTCTCTTTCTAATATTATACAAATAATCTTTTTGTTCGTTTATATATACGTTATTTCTATGTGTGTATTTTTATATAATGCTGATGAAACTTTATTATCTCCTTCTTCGAGAGATTCGTGAGAAAGAAAGGATATTTATTTTAATATTATTAGAATATTTTAATATAAGAATATATTATTTTGATATTATTTTAAGAAATTGAAATACTTTTTCGTAAATCAGGTGACGACGTCGTCAGACGAAAGAGATCCTCTCTGTCTGGACGATATTAAATTCAGTCCTGGTGATCATAATGACAGTGGACGCGATAGGGATCTCCTCGATCGTCACCTCGATTCTTTATCGATGTCCTCGGCGAGTTCGGCGTGTTCAGCACTGTCCTGGGACAGTTCACCTTCCCTCTCTTGCACGGCGCTCATTCTTAAAAAAGAACCGAGTGAAGACCTCGAGGAAGATGAGGAACACGAGGTACGTTAAGCTTAGCGATTTCAGTCAATAAATTTTATTTAAAATTAACGGCAATCAAAAATCCGCGCTCGATTAGAAAACTAATTAATTACAAATGGATTTATAAAAGATAAAGGTATTCTTTTATATGTTTGCTTTTATGTGTTTGTAATAAGTTGGAATATTTTTGAAAAATTCTGATGGAGTTTTCGTTGAAAATATTTTTTTAAATCTCATCAACTTTTTTAAACTTTAAAAAGTAATTTTATTACACGAGGACGCTCCGAAATTCACGCAGGTTACGTAAAAGAATTCGATGTGTTTATTGTTAAATGTACAGTTTGTGAAGACATCCTTCCAATTAGCTTTTTAATCCAACTGAAGTTACTCTCTCGCAAAAGCAATTTCTGATTCAATACGATGCACGATGTTGCATTGATGCAACCAGCCTGAACGTAATGAGTTAGATCGCGCGATCACGATTCGATTCTCATCGGTTTATTTGTCTGCCGTAACCAGTCAGTCCGAGTCCGATACGATTCCCGGCAGCGATTCACGGACCGTGCAATCAATCCCGTTACGTTATTAATCGTAATCTCGTTGCATAATGCGGCGTGGTTTTGCTGCTGCAGGAAATCGAAGAGGAGGAGGACAGCGGGTGCGAAAGCGAAGGTCAGATTCTGACGCCGCCGTCGAGTCCCGGTTCGGGTCAAGGTCATTCCAACTCCAGTCACTCGTCGAGTGGAAGTTCGATGCTCGACGTGCACAACCTCAACCTTCACGGCACGGGCGGGAGGAGCGCTATCGTCAGGGTTACCGCCGGAAACGCGCAGGGTGTTGCAAGGTAAGTGTTGGAAAATTCGCGTACTTTCTTCTCCGAATGATATCGTGCGTTTCGCGACACGCTTCTTTTCTCGCGTTAAAAGATACCACGCGATAGAAAAGGTCACGGTAAAAGAGAGAGAGAGAGAGAGAGAGACAGCAGCGGTTCCTCTTTGACGTTCTCTCATTGTTGCTATTCTTGGGTAATGAAAACTTAATTGCCTTCAGAATTGAAAGGGGCAAAGGCGACTAACGCGATACTTACTCTTACGAGAAAGATGGATGCGCCGTATAGTTACGTCTCGCTCGGAAATTATCTTGATTAACTGTAACTGGCGTTCTCCGACTTCAAGCGCTCGTACTTTCCGGGTTGACTTATCCCCCATCCAATTCGTTCCTGGCAATTTTCTACGGAATTTGCAAAAAAAGAGACACGGGCTCGTTAAAAAAAACGTTGACGTTGGGAAGTAACCACGGAACGTTCTCGCTACGTCAGGGTAGAAGAAACTGAAAACAATTCGCTCTCGCGATCCATCATTAACCCGTTGCCGGAATTGCGCTCTTCTCGAGCTCCGCTCGCGTTTCTTTTGAAGCACGAGACGTGCGCCGATTACTCAACAGTCTACCGATCACGCTACTTGCTATTTCGCGCGCGTTAACTCGTCGAGGCTAGCAAACCGTGACACGCACACCGGGGTCCGTTTCACGGATGTCGCGCCTCGACAGCGCGCAACGGACTAATTACAACGTGGCTAAAATACAGCCAATGAGAGGAAGCAAATCGTGTTTTTTTCCAGACTGATCTCCGTCACGGCGAACGGCTTCCCCGCGGTAGCCGGCACGCAACACGCGCACGCGGGTACAACTGCAACCACGACTACTGTGGCCAACAGGCACCACGCGAGGAGCAACGAGCACAGTCCGCCCGACACGAAACGCAGGATACACAAATGCCAGTTCCCCGGGTGCAAGAAGGTATACACCAAGAGCTCGCATCTGAAGGCCCATCAAAGGACGCACACGGGTGAGTTGATGCAGCTATGTCTATCTAGTAGTTGATTCGAGACCAATCTGTGTGTGTGTGTATCGAGGCTGTCGATAAATTAGTCAGTTCAAATTGCCACTGATGCGAGATAATCCGATAGACTGTCGCGACACGCCACGCGCGAATCCAAATAATCATAAGAGCGATGAAGCTGAACTATGATTACGACGAGTTGTGTGTGTGTGTGCAGCAATGAATACGTGCGCGAGAAGCATTTACGAGCACGTCGGTGGGAGTTATAACAAATTTTTCAAATCACCATCGGACATTCTCGCTACGGCAACAACGGGAGTATAATTAATTACGAGGTTGAATTAAGGGTGCTTCGTTATTCGCATCGATGCGTTCGAGAGATGCCATCTGACGAAACAAAGCAGACAAATATAGCGCTTATTCGCGCGTATTCTCATGCATTTATCTCTCTGATAGAATCAGATTTGACCGACATCGCATGCTTCTCTAATTGGCTATTGTCGTTTGGAAAACATTTTTCTGATCTTCGTACATATATATTCTTTCAAAAACAAAAGGGTACGTAAATTGAACTCGTTTAGTGTGTTTCATTTAAATGTATCAATTTTATTGCATTACGTTTGCTTTCTACTATTTTTATGTTTCTTTCTGAATTTTTACGTAGCTGAATAAGGCATTATTTAAACCTTCTCTGTTCTTTGATATTAGCAAAAGTATTTATTTGTAATTAGAAAATACGTTAATAAAATACAATATAATATAAAATTTCTATAAATTTAAAATAACTTATCATCCGAACGGAAGTATCTGTAAAATAAATTATGGCTAAATAACTTTATTAAAATATTACTAATTAAATTTCCGTCAATTAGATTGCATTTAAAATCTGTTGTGCTTGCTACGTTATATCAAATTAAATAATTATAATCGGATCATTAATATTTCATCCGTGTAAACTAAATTACAAGCGTAATTATAATTCTTCGTCAATTAGAATTCTCTTGTGTTTCGATAAAACGAGTGAAATTTCCTTTCACCTTAAAGAGTGGCAATATCCATCTTGCTACTTCCATGATCCATGTTGACGGTTCGCGTCATTGTCCGAAAGCGATATTGCCATGGGTCTTCGCATTCTCCTCCCTCCGATCCTTTTCGTGGTCGCTTGCGGTGAACGATGGCAGGCAGAGAGATTGTAATTAACGAACTCTCCTGTTCCCTTTCGTCTTTCTCTCTTCTTCCAGTGCAAGTGTACGGTTCCATCCTCATCCTCTCCTTCTCGGATCCTTGCTCTTTATCCACGGTTTTTGTCGCGTCACACTCAGGTCCTAGGGTTTCGCCAGTCGTACGTACCCTGCGGTACGTGCCCTCGTCTTTCTATGTATAGCTTAGGCATGGCTCCCTACACAGAGATGACGAGAGAGAGAGAGAGAGAGAGAACGGAGCGGAATGCAAGGGTGGTAATAAGGGACGGGTTGGCCGGGACGCCTCCATCCTACAGCATGGCAGGTACGTCGGGATTGCTTCTCGCGGATCGTTAAGCAGAACTGCTAACTACGGGATTATGCATACTGCGGGACCCGTCCCGCAATTATGACTCTGTTATGAATTCGTCCTGACACAGGGATCCTCCTGTCGGCGAAACGGCTGCGCCAGACGACGGACTGCCGCGACATGTACGACGGCTCGCCGTAGGACGTTTATCTCGAGACATTTACGGAGAAAAAGGTGTAAAAGCGCACACTGTGCCCTCGGGTATTGGTTCACCCGGTTCTCTTTTCTCTTGCTCAGTCCGTACTTCGCGATATCACATGCGAGCATCGAATGTATCTGCTCCGGAACTGAAACGTTTCTCTGTCGCACAATAGTTTTCTTAAGATTCTTGTCTGTGTTTTATATCTTATCCTTATAAAATGCCTTTGTAAGAAATTGAACAAGACATAGCTATATATCGTATAAAAGAAGTAAACTCTAATCATTAAAGCATTTAACCACTACTAGTAATTAGTTTTTATTAAATGGACGATTCTTTAAAAATTCTTTAATTTTTACATATCTACTTTTCATTGAACAAAAAAAATTCCATCAAAAATTACAATTTGCTAATATTATAGCCATATAAAATTATGTAATCACTTTTATTAAAAAAGAAAAAAATATATTAAATTAAAAGAGAAGAAATAAAAAAATTAAGGATATACAGATTTCATGATTCTTCTTGAAATATGACGAAGGAAACAATTGTGCGACTACTTTCGTACTTATTGATTACATTCGCTGCATGAGGAGATTTCCGCCGCGATCTCGTCGAAAAAGTTCGGCGACACGCTCTCTCTCAGAGTTTGCCACCAGAAGAAAAACGACCGCATCGAGAAACTTCGAGAAGCGGAGCTTTTCGTGGGGATAGAAATGGCGGTAGACTTTGATCTCACTCGACGGAATCTAATTACCCTGCGGACAGGACTTCGCGGTGGCAAGACACGAAACGAAGCGAGTCGTCGATCGCGAGACGACAACGTGAAGGTTCGTTACGAATTCCATCGGCGAAGTTTCTCTTCGGAAGGCTTCTCGATATGTAGATATTCCGAGAAGGATCGGCGAAGATCTAGTCCCTTTGCTTAGTCTGATATTTGAAGACGAGAACGGCGACGACAGAAACGCGACATGCTCATTTACATCCATCAGATCGCATTATTCTCGTAGACGGCGGATTTAGCGCTGATTCTACAATGTGATCCGATTAAATGACTTAATCAACGTATTTGTCTGCTAATTTCTTTCGAAGCGATCAGACATCACTAAGTATCAAGTATGCCCATCGATTTATCAAGACCTGTTTTTTTTTTTTGCATGCGAAGCTCGTTTAAAACGAACGATCTTCAGCTGCGAGAGAAAACCGTTGAAATATCTTGAATTTTGCTGGTTCAGCACCTCGCGATAATTTTACATTTTTATTTTCGCCTGCGTTACGCATCGATGTAAAATGTGGTTTCTCGCCGGCCGTTTAAATCACACCGTTCAGATCCGCGAGTTAATTAAAACGTTTAACGGATTTGGGCCTTCTGCAAAGAGGCTAATTTGAGCGGAGCGTAGCGCAGCGTTTCGCGAATACTTCCGAAACGGCCGCGATTTTTCACCGTCATTCACAGCGCAGACAGATTTGCGTAGAATTTATGTAATGCGCGATGAAAAGAAAGCCCTACGTAATTACGTTAATTATAAATCGTAAAGAGAAAAACCGGGGGGGAGACTAGTTATGGGAATGATAATACCGAAAGAAAAATCCACGGATGAACTCTTTGTTCTGTCCTTATAGTATCTTGACGAGAATAAAACCGAACTAATTCTTCTTTTTCATTCGCGCTTATCCTTCTCGCGTATTAGGTTCTTGTCCGAATGGGTCCTTTCTCGCTGTGGCAGCGTCGCAGGGCTCTCGTATCCGATTTTCCCACGGGTGTCAAGGAACTATCGATCGCCGTCCTGCAGCCTCACGTCGGCTATGTACAGCGGCGGCGAGAGAAAAGAGGGACGAAAGGATAGGAAGAGAGAGATTTCCAATTACAGGGACTTTCCGTTCTGGAATTCCATTCCCGACGTCATTGTTCTCGCGTCGCGCGCCGCGGACAGGACTTTGATCCTTCGACGATGCGAGATCGCTTCGCCCGGGACACTTAACAGTCCTTCACTTCATTCCGGAAAGTGGATAGTCAACATATATGAGAAAGAGCGATTTTATCCCTTCTTTGTTGAGTTCACTCGACAGTCGCTTGATTTCGTGCAGGAAATGTAACGTTTAGCATTCTTCGGTCTAAAAGAGAAAAATATTTATTCTAAACGGAAATCCCTATTAATGCGCAATATACGATCGCTTAAATAAATTTATAGATACAAGTTTATGAAATACTTATGCAATTAATGAGAAAGTAGATAGTTTGATAAAATCTATTCCCAGTATCATTCTCAGTGACTGCACCTTTTCTTGTCGCATTATTAAGGATGTATTATAGTTTCGTCTATAATATTTTTGACTGCGAAGAACGAGAAAGACGAGAATGGGATTATAAATGACTCAAGGATGATAATACGTATTTCATGTGTGTGTGTGTGTGTATATATATATATATAAATTCATACACGATTGAAAACTTTGCTTTAACGGATCGAGAGATACGGGAGGAGGCAGTTGCAGTCGAAGGGGGTGAACTACTAGTCGAGATTACGGAGATCAAAGTAGGTCAGCCAAAGTATAATAATTTAACATGAGAGCGCTTTAGAGACGCACAGCTTTCCGCGATCTTAAATCAAACGAAGAATGGAACGAGCGGTGGCGCGGCTCCGAGAACTTATTTATCAATGTAACTCGCGACGATGAATCCACGCTGTCGAAAACAGTCTGCTTATATACATTACTTCTGCATTTCTCCTTAGACGTGTCGGTGTATCCGCGAACAATAGAACCTGAAGGTATCCAGCGTCGGGAGGGCGGTATAATCGAATTAACCATAAATCCAAAGCATTTCCGCACAAACGGATATCCGTGATTTATGCCTGGCGAATGGTCCGAAGCGCGAAAGAAACGAGCGACGCAATCGCCCGGTTAAAACATTACAATGAAGCAAGAAATAAATTTGCAAAACGACAGAATGACTTTCTTAAGTTTCCAACGTTTGCACGGAAAATATACCGCTTTCCTCTACGGTATCAATTGTATCACCATTTGTCGCCTTTCTCATTTTACTAATATTTGGATTACTTAAAATGTATTTATATCGATCACAAAATACACACACGCTGTTTTTTATGAAAATAGTAAAAAAATGTATATTTATAAAAAGAACATTGATATATAAGATTGAATCTCAATCGATTGTATGTAAAATTTGCATACTCTTAGTAAAAATAAAAATATAATTCTAATTATTGCTGCACAGAAAAAAATACATACTGTACGCATGTAATAATTACTTGTTTCAAGTATTTCAAAAGTTTATGTATCCGCAAATCTATCA